TTTGCTGTTTTAGGGATGGTCATATTAATAGATTAGGACATCATATGGTTGATTATCCATTATCTAGCGTATTATCCAGATTTATTTATAGAATTGTACTTTTCTGTTTTAGGGATGGTCATATTAATGGATTAGGACATCATATGGTTGATTATCCATTATCTAGCGGATTATCCAGATTTATTTATAGAATTGTACTTTGCTGTTTTAGGAGTGGTCATATTAATGGATTAGGACATCATATGGTAGATTATCTATTATCTAGCGGATTATCCAGATTTATTTATAAAATTGTACTTTGCTGTTTTAGGGATGGTCATATTAATGGATTAGGACATCATATGGTTGATTATCCATTATCTAGCGTATTATCCAGATTTATTTATAGAATTGTATTTTGCTGTTTTAGGGATGGTTGTATTACTGGATTAGGTCATCATATGGTAGATTATCCATTACCTCCTGGATTATCCAGATCTGTTATATATTCTGGTATGCTAGGATGTTCCGATGTAATGCTACCTATTGCTGCTATGTTATCAGTTGAAAGTGTATTCATTAGGCCAGGTAAGACGATCATCAATCTGTTATCTACAATTGACAACACATTAAAGGACGGTAGTCATCGTGCCGCGCCCTGTTCGATACTCATAGCGACGTACACAACGCATGCAAAATACATTGTTTATTTACATGAAAAGTTTGGCTGAGATGTGATGAAACTATGTACATTTGCTATGTTGCCTTATTCATGATCTCAAAGTATTCATGCAAAGCACATACTTTGATTTCTTGTTAAATAACGTAAGGTTATATGGTAACCTGATATCACTTTTTCGTAGAGCTGGTTAATACAAATAACATCATGGGTCAGGGTAATCCATGAAGCAAAGGTGATGGGACAATACTGTAAAATCTGTATTAGAAACCGTGGCTCGTATTGAAATGATACAATGCAATTGAGGAGATGCGGTTTCTATTAGTGAGCATCTACACATATGAGAAATGATGAATTTTTGGTTCTCAATTATTCAAAAAGAATGGGATGTGGCTTCTAATACAGATTTTACGATACTGCCTTTAACAAATACTGCTATGTTGGAAATATTCATCACTGTTCATGGAAATAGATTTCCAAAACATTTCCAAAATGCCATGCTGTGCAACGACTGCATGATGCTTTAAATATGTTGATATTTTTCAATATAGGTGATGAGAAAAAACAAGTTGCTGCTACTAACTGTCACAGAACTCTTGGAGAGATAGCTGGTGGTGTCAACGACTTTGCTACATTGCTTTACATTTACCAACAGTGTAATAGTAGGTGAGAAAGACAACGGTCAATGTGCGTATCTGACATTACTTAATATTTTGGCATATAAAATAATGAATAATGAAAAAAAATAAATAAATAAAAAAAATATAAATAAAAAAATATTTTGGCATGCTTCCTCTTTATTCATAAATGAGTTTCTAATAGGAAACATAATTTCATCGAACATGTCCTCAAATTTGTGCATATATTGTTTCCACGTCACTGAATTATAAAATTGTTGTCGCTTTAATTATTGCATTTGCATCAAAAACAAATAGACGGTGCTGCTGGTAAACAAATAAATTTCTTTAACATTATAATTTGTTTTGAAAATGATGACAATTAAAATATTCACAAATTTCAAAAAAATAAACCATGATGACAAATTCAGCAATAATCCCTGTCAATTCCTTTAGGCCAATATTTGTGAATCTGTTTTGAACCTAGACAGCAACAACGCCAAGATATTGATGTCAGTTAATGACCTTCCAAATCTTAGGATTTTCTGCCATTTTCATTTTTATTAATTGATTTTTTTCTTTCCTCTTTTGTCTTGTTTTTTGTGTGCATTGTATCATCCATTCTAATGGATGTTAAGTAAATAAATGATTGAATAAATTAAGAAGTAAATAAATAAATAATGTTATTGTTTGCAGTGATTCTCCTGCTCGATGGTGTCGGGATCATTACATTCACTGGAGAGCTGTTAAAATGGCATCCAGTATCTGTCAACAGTTACAAGAAATACTGAAGCGGCAAACAGAGGTCAGTTACAATTTATTACATAATTTAAAATTCTGTTTCCTCTCAGGTAGAATGCTACGCAGAAGTAAAAGTATTGTAATTTCCAATACTTTTAGTGGGTTTTTATAATATAACTGTGTTTTTATTGTGGTCTATGGAAAATGCTGCTAAAATGGCATTTTATGCATATATTTTACACTTTTTCTCAAAATACAGATTGACAGTGAATGAAAAAAGTGTTCACATACTTACTGTTCACTAATACTAAAACGAATAATTTTGACACACAATATTGCTACCATATGCACTGAAATATGCGCAAATGTGACTCGTGAGCAGCATTCTACCTATACATTTTACGGATACCGACTCTCCCACTAAGTAAAGGGATGGTACCCTGGTATATATTGCACAAGTCCATAAAATGGCACAAATCATTTTGTAAACCTATAAGGAGAAGCAACAGGAAGAAAGTAGTCCCTATATAGAATTTACAATAAGACAACCCAACAAATCTGTTTTATCAGCTGAGTTTACCTATTTGTGTTTACAAATTCCTAAGCATATAGCCCTTTCCAGTGAATAAATGCCAAACTGTTTTCTTGTTATGCATGTGTTACCTGCGCACATTATTTACTTGTTAGTTATGGCATTAATATCTATATATTTATGATACAGACCTAATGTACAGTATATAACATGTTAAAACGTAGACACAGCAGGGGCTGAGACTGCTTAGCTTAGATATTGATGCAGTGAGGGCAGCAGTGTGTATGGGAACTGAGGGCTGCATGTAGAGGTCAGAGGTAAACACAGCAGGGGCTATGCCTACAGATGTGGATGCAGCTTGTGCTGTGGTAGGGTTAGGTAGCGAGGACTTCTGTAGACGTTAAATGTAGACCGTGACAGTGGGGGGCTGTGCCTACTTATTAAAGTTAGATGTTAGATGGAAAGTAAGTGTTAAATTACAATAAATTGCTCAACTACAATCTTGAGTGATATGAGCAGCTTGCGAAGTCCCCAAACCATCATTAAATGCATTATTAAAACTTGAATCTGGATAGCAAATTTTCAGATCTCTACTTGAATCTTGAAATTGCTGCTCATTTCACATGCACAGTCAGTGTGCTGTTGATTGGCTAAAAGTCATGTGATTCAGTGGGCCTTTCTCATTCTCTGAACAAGGTTTGACAGTTTAAACAGCATTTAAACTCTGTATGAGAAAGTACTACAGTGAGATATCTGATGGCCTACATCACCTGTATCACCATTTTTGATTTGATAACAAACTGTCTGTGGCCTTATCAATGGCGGTCAAACCTTTCAGCAAAAGGATATTCCGGTAACAGATCATCATTTAGGAAAAAAGACCAATATTCAAACAGTAAATATATTCACTAATAAACCTATAACAGCAATTGTGTTAATTTTTCATCCATGTAGTCTTCCAGTTTTCAGAAAATTACCAGTACAGGTTCAGAAAGTGAGAAATTAAGAAAAGCACTATGTTGTGGATATTTCTGTAATGCTGCTAGGAAACGCACAGTTGGGAGAGGATTCCAGACAATGGATGGACATGGAACTGGTGTATTTATTCACCCCTCATCTCTTGTGAGTTACTATGTAATGATTACAATGACTTGTGTGTGTATTTGTATAGAAGTAGAGCCAGTGGTCCGGTTACATACCAACAAAGTGGAACCTTTTGTACAAGTGGAGCCTCACACATGGGGACTCACAATGTTTCATAATTTATATTAATATTTAATCGAATTTAAGTCAAGTTTGCGTAGCTTAGGTTCAGTAAAGGGGAAGGTATGTTCAATTTATATTAATATTAATATAATTGTACCACTGAGTTTAATTAAACTCCAATTAAAACATAACCCTATATAGGAACACATTTTAATTGAGTTGATTTCACAACTATATTAAAAGTTAATTGAACTATATTAAAAGTTAATCCAATGTGTTTTGTGTGTGTGTGTGTGTGTATGGTACCAACATTGTGACGTCTTCAATTTAACTTTACACTGAATTGTAACGACAGGACCTACATTGTGACGACCTCACTATTTTCATGATTTATATTAATATTTAATCGAATTTAAGTCATGTTTGCAAAGCTTAGGTTTAGTAAAGGGGGGGGGAGGTATGATTCAATTTATATTAATATAGTTGTACTATATCTACCCCCCTTTACTAAAGCTTTGCAAACATTTCTATGTTCAGTCTCGGGATATTCAACTTTTATTTAATTAAACTTAATTAAAACGCAATTCTACGTTGAATTGCATTGTAATTGAGTTTAATTAAACTCCAATTAAAACGCAACCCTATATAGGAACATGTTTTAATTGAGTTCATATCGCAACTATATAAAAAGTTAATTCAACTATATTAAAAATTAATCCAAAGTGTGTCGTATAAAAATGTCATTGACATTTATGTTTATCAACTTTTTCATGTATATCAATTTGATAGGTTTCAAATTTTGTCTATACTTTAATTAATTTTTTTTTTTTTTTTTCTGATTTGTATACAAGCTGTTCGATAAAGAGGAAGATTTGGACTGGTTAATATTTTATGAAGTTGTGTGGACAAGTAAAGTTTATATCCGTACAGTATGTCCAGTGAGTTACTTTTTATGTTTTCACTTTTAACATCTGGGTTCTTAATAAACAAGCTGATCCTGTATTGGTTTATGATTTAATACTTAGGTAAGCAATATTTTATGGGTACAAGTTATGATTCTTGTATAGTACTTCTCTGATTGAAGTTTGAAGTTGTAAATTTGGCCAGTTGGTTATGGTTCTTGTATGGCCGGTACTTTGTTTTGACTGTGTACAGGCAACTTCTCTAATCAGTAGAGTTTGAAGTTGTATGTGGATTGCGAATATGTTGTATGTGTATGATACTTTGATTAGACTGTAGTAGTA